CGGTGGGCGGCCGCCTCACGGGCACATCCCTCTCCCTCGCTCATCCCTCTCCTTCGCTCATCCCTCTCCCTTGCTCGCGTTGCAGCCTATGGGATCAACAGCATCCTGTACCAGCGGGGCATCTACCCCCCCGAGACCTTCACCCGCGTCCAGAAGTATGGGCTCACCCTCCTGGTCACCACCGACCCCGAGCTGAAGAACTACCTCAACAACGTGGTGGAGCAGATGAAAGGTGGTATGGGGTGGGGAGCTGCGGGGGCTCCGGCTTGTGTCTCTGCTCGGGCTTGTGTTCTCTTTAGCCCTGCAAGTAACCGCTGTGGGTTCTTTCAGAGTGGCTGGACAGGGGCACAGGTGCATTGTGCAGCGCCTGGTGGTGGTCATCTCCAGTATTGAGAACAACGAGGTCCTGGAGCGGTGGCAGTTTGATATAGAGTGTGACAAAACTGCAAAGAATGAGAGGTGAGTAACCGTGTTTCTCTGTACCTGCTCTTCCCTATGCCTGCTAGCTGTGCAGGCACAGGACAAAGGCCACGTGCATCTGTCACGGTCCGCTAAGGACTCGTGATGGTTCTTTGCTGAGATCTCCAAGTGCAAAATTAAGGCGACCACGCCAAAAGGGGTTAGCACAGCTGTGGTCTCCTCAGAGCAGCTGAGATCGCCTTTTCTCACTCTGAGCACAGCACATCATGTTCCTTCCAACCTTACCATACCACCTTTCTTACTGCTGTTCTGTTTGTCTGTAAACCAGTCATTGTATGATTGAAGCATACATGATCCTCAGGTGTTGGTGGGTTTTTTTAAGCATCAGATTAAAAATCAAGTTTTGATCTTCCACAAAGTATATAAAAATCGTATCGCAGATACCCACCCTTAAGAACTACTGCTTTCCTATTATACCAAAATGTTCTCATCCATTCCTGAGGAATGTTGCATTACTTACAAATACTGTGGAGCTTCACAAACAACACAGTGAAACTGACAATCACTCAACTTCGTTTAAGCCTGTCTACCTGAGGCTTAAAAGAGTGTCCCTACTATACAAAATCATACAGCAAACAGTCCAGCAGCAGCTTAATAAAGTAAAATGTAATTAAAGAAAACTGCCAGTATAGCACAAGCTTCTTAAGAGTTCTCCTATTTTTCCAGTGCACCCCGAGAAAAATCTCAGAAAGCTATTCAGGATGAAATTCGATCTGTTATCAGACAAATAACTGCCACAGTAACTTTTCTGCCACTGTTGGAAACTGCCTGTGAGTATTCCTAAGTTCACTAAACAAACATTTATTTTGGGGAATCTGAAAAACTTTTCCACTTTAGAAAATATTTTCTGCTGATTTTCTGGGGCTTTTTAATTATTACATGAAATGTCATCACATTTCTGAGACGGCATTGTGTTAGACTGAGATAGTGTCTCTTGTGTATAGTATGTAAAAACAGTATGTCAGACTGAATAAGGGTGTTGGCCGCACAACAAACAGTAAAAATAACTGCAAATGTAAATACGGTGCTCTGGCTCTCATTAAAGAACTTGAAGCAACTCCATTTAAAGGGATGAATGGTACTTTCTCCCGAAAATTCTTAAAGCTTTCTCAGAAGGACAGAGGTTCTAGCTTAATATAACTAATATGTGTACTCTTGAGGAATGTAAGTTTTTGTAAACAATAAATTATTTTGTGACTCTAGCTGTGGACAGGCTTGTATAACTACCTGAGTTCAAATGAAGTATTACACAGAGCTCAGTGCCTCAGCATTTTAACATGTTTAAAAAAAAATAATTGCATCACACTCACTTAAGGAGAAAACTAAAATAGCTACACATGAATATAACCAGGACTTCTTTTCACATAACTAGTATCTGTAATTTCTGAGAACCTTGGTATACATCTGAAGTTCTAGAAGATGCACGTTAACTTCAAACATACCATCTTCTTACATATGCATTACTGTTACCTTGTTCCTGCTTGCTTACAGGTGCTTTCGACTTGTTGATATACACAGATAAAGATTTGGCAGTGCCAGAAAACTGGGAAGAGTCAGGACCACAATTCATAGCCAATTCAGAAGAGGTTCGTCTTCGTTCCTTCACTACTACAATCCACAAAGTAAATAGCGCCGTGGCTTACAAAAAGGATTCCTTTCCCTAAGACATGGGGGCTTTTTTGTATATATCCCCATCACCTTGTATAGTTGCTGTTCAAAAGCCTGGGCTGTTTTATTACCAGAAACAATCCTAAAATGAATCGACGGAACAATTCTGGTCCTTGTGCCTCTTTATAATGAAAGCAGCTGTTTACCAGGAAAATCTTAAAATATTAATGACTGCTGGACTCTAGTTCTGGGGATGGCAGTGTTCTAAGTCTGTGTATATCCCTAGTGTCTGTCAAGCTTTCTCTATGTTTGTATTCTTGTTTTTACAGAATAAAGCTTAAAACTGTATAGTGTTCTCTAATTCAGGGTCTGTAGTACTTCATATTCTAGATGTTTTTATGAATTCTACATCTCAGTTTAATAACTGTCATATAACTAATAGCAAAACTAATACCCTAAAGGCATCCTACTTTGAGGAAAAAAACCTGCAAGCCTCAGTATTGTTACTTTAACTATTACCCCTGAGTCTCAAAACAAGTTTTGTGGAGTCAATGTGAAATCCATTCATCGATTAATAGTTTTCCCGCAATAGCAGAAACAGTCACAGTAACCTAATAATTATGCTATTTAACAAATATGGAAGGCAACACTGTGCTTAAGACTCTTATGGAAGTTAGGGATTTAAACCTCCAAGTGTTAATATAACTTTCAGGCTCCTTTACCAAATTCACTTCAGCCAGAGTATTGAACTTTTCACACTCTTCTAGACTCTTAGACCACTCTTCCTGTTATAACAGTGTAATTTCAAAAGAGTTTATTTTAAAACCATTAATTACACATAGTAAAAAGTACAAAGCTTATGGGCTTTCCTCCCAGGAAACAGTCCTCTCCAGTAGTCCCAAGGCAGCAGAAAGGAAAAGGCAGCCTTTTGTCATTCAGGAGCACAAAATCATGGCTTTTTAAATTAAATACGATCTAGGTACTTCAAAAACGTAACATTATTCACCCCTAGGGCTCACTCTGCAGTAACAGAGGAATAACACTAGTGTTTTCCTCTGCCTGCGAGCAAGATTCTCGAACAGGTGACTGCACTCCCCCTTTACACCTAGAAGCAGGGGCATTTCAAGGAGTGCGACTTCAAGCACTTCCCCTGGGGAGAACTGGATCAAAGCACTGAGTGCAAATCAGCTGTAACAGAAATTTAAATCAAGAAATGACAAATCACTGCTTTATACCAAAGATGAGTGCAGGAGGTGACTGGTACACAGGCTGCAGTAATCAGTATAAAGAACTTGTTTTACAGAGATGCAGAAGTCAGGCTGCTCCAGGAACTTCATGTCACTTCTTTCTTGTACCAAATACAATTTAGCATCATCATCTTCAAGAAGGACCAGCCCAAAGTGTATCTCCATCGTCATCTGTACATTTTTTGATCTTTTATGGAAGCACCAACAACAAAGAGTTATGTAGTATGGCATTGTATAGACCCAATGTCCATGAAAACCACATGTGAAAGGAACAGGCTACAAAACCTGAAAAACAAAACAACACAACAGTCACTTCAGTGCAATCTCCCTGAAGTCAAGCCTTTATGGGGATGTCCAACAGGATTTGGTGATACCAAATGGGACCCACACTCTTCATTAGTTTCCTCTACCTTGAGGGTCACTTCGGTAGAGTGAAGACTCAAAAACAAAGCAGTCCCCCCCAATCCCTAATGGCAGTATAGTTATTCTAAGGAAACCAGGTAAGATTTAGAAGTTACACAATGGGCATTCCTCACCTGACTAGTTCAGCTGACGTATAAGCTGGTTGATTGCTTCGCCTCTGCAGCCAGGCTTACCCATTTCCTTGAGGAAACCCACTTTGTTACGTGAAGCATGGCGAGCCACTGACAGATGGAATGGCCATAGAAAGTTTGTGACTTTTTTGAAATGTTTCCCAGCTGAGTAGATTTCATGAATAAGATCTTCCAAGCAAATTATACCATAGCCCCCTGCAGGAAAAAAAAATGAAATAAAATTTAAAAAAACAACAAAACAATCTCACTCCCCCCAACAACATATACACAAGATATGCAACTGTACTATCTTTCCTCATGCTACCCCAGAATTGCCAGTCCTCCATATGCAAGGCTTCAAGATTTTTCTCCCTCCCCTTCCTCTTAGTTCAGACTGCAAACTCTCAACAAACTCTCAACATCCGCCTCTTTTCTTGATTCACTTCATGTTCTCATCCTTTTCCTCACCTAAATGTTCCTCTATCAGCATATTGTCTGTCAGAGGTACCCTCTTCTTCTTAATCTTGGCTTGGCCCCGTTTCAGGATGAGCTCTCGTACAGATTTCAGGTTAGGGTGTCTGTACAAAAACAAAAATCAGATTCTGTAACAGAGACACGTGATGCAGTGGGAAGTCCCACCCTGCTTCTTTGTATAGAGCTGGGAAAGTAACAAAGCCATATTTACAGAGGAGCAATAACAAGTTTTAGATATAAATTTGGCAACGTTTTGACCATTACTGCAAAGGCAGCTATGGATTTGTGATACCCGATGGAGAACCAAAAGCTATGATATTTAGATACAAATTACTATCAAGTCACGGGACTGGTACTTACCCCCACGCCACGTAAGGTTCCACAATCCGCAGCATCTTCAGTGACAGCGGAGTCAGTTTAACAAACATTCCAGTGTAATTCTTTTTCAGCCGCAGCAATTCAATCACTCTTTTTACCCTCCTACTCACTCCCTTAATGCTGAGTCAGAAAAAAAAAAGTACTATTATAGTAACCACGTTTCTCTAATACAGTAACATCACACCTCCTTTACTTAGAAATTATATGACAGCTACAAATAGCAGAAATAATAAAGGTAAGGAATAACGAAAGTTTCTTACTCTACAATCCGCACAACAAAGGCTAGTTTGTGCTCCTGAGGTACGGCCGTCTGTCCAGGTCTCTGCTCCATACGCCTCAGCCGGACATCATCTCGGTGTTTGCGCCATGAATCTCGAACAAAAGCCTCAAGACGTTTAAATTGGATTTGTTTCCCCCTCTGGAGCTAAAGACAAAAGGATAAGAAATAATTGCCCTTCCCAACAGTCTTAGACTTTTGCATCTCAAAGGCCAAATAAAATTCAGAACTTGATGAACTATGTTCTTTCTGTCTTAGAGGCAGTAAGTAGAAAATTAATTTGATTATCTAAGCCCAAGAGAGACAGAACTGAGGGACAACACATGAATTTACAGACTTCAAGCAGTTAACTATGATTTATGAACCGTGAACAGAGACTTTCCCCAGAGAAAAAACATCAGGAAAAACAGAGCAAGACTTGAAATACTTCTACATACAGGAGAAATCAAATGGAAGCATTTACAGCCACAGAGATCTCCACAGCTACATACACAGATCAACCAATCACAAGGAAAGCCAGAAACAACATATGTATCTGGGCGAGAGATGCTACAGCAACAGCCTAGTGTGACTCAAAATTACCATCCAACAGAAAATAAGTGGTTTTAAAGTCCTTTCCTCTAAACGTGCACACACGCACACAAAAACCTGAGAGCATTCAGTACTACTAACTGAAACAAAAAATCCATCTCACTTGAAAAAAACACTTTTCAAGATTATGGGAAAATCTAAAGTTTTTTTGAAGTTAAAAAGAAGTTTAAGTGCCTATGCTTAGCTCAGGAACAAGTACATCCACCTACATCATACTCCCTTCTCATACAAATAGGAGCTGAATATGCATAGCAGTTACTCAATAATATTTTAGATAACTACTGGCTAAATTATTAGACCATTCTAAAAATAAAGAATCTAGTGTTATCTATCTTCTCTTCTATTTCACCTTGTAAATCACCCATGAAATTGTTTTGAATTTTCAAAGCACGTAGACTTGATCAAAATCTCATCACCACAATCATTTTTAAAATTAGAATCTCAACAGGTCTTTAGCTATTTAACATCATTGTTTATGCTTCCACTTTGTAAATACAATAAGCCATTCATATATTTAAAACCCTAAACACAGTATCTAACAAAAATAGCAAGAGTTTTGCACATAATCCCACTAACTCCACAGAAATAGATTGACTGGGAAAACTTTAAGCCACTTCCAAGAGAGGCACCTACTATATTAGGTGAGATACAGCAGGACAGGTCTCAAATTCTGACACTGCAAGGTTTGCTCTGCTCTGCCAGTCTGGAAATCACACACTGCACAGAGAGTCTCTTCACTAGCAACACGTGCCACCCTACACGCAGAAAAAGGCTTCACGATGACCCACCTATGCTCTAACAGATGTATCTAGCTAATGACAGCTAGCTAACCCTAACTGTGCTGTCAGAGCAGCACACCATCTCCGTGAGGCTTACAACGTAAAGCTGAACTGGTTCCAGACAGCGCAATCCCATGGCAGCACAAACAACTCAGCAGCATCACACTGTACCGCCTGGGGCTACAGGCACCCTGGTGACCACCGAGCCAGGAGGAAGAGCTCACATTCCTCAACAAAACTGTGTTCTGGTGTAACAACCCAAAAGGTGTTCCCCTCTTCACAGGGCTCAAAAACACAAAGGGAAGATGATCATTAACTGGACTCCTGCTTCCCCTCAGATATAATCCATAGTCACAGCAACCAGCTGACCCCCCCCTTTCCTTCCAGCGGACCAGCCCCTACCTTCCGCTTATTGAGGAGCGCCTGCTTGGCCTGGGTGGCCTTGATGGCCTGGTAGGCCTTCCTCTTCTTCAGCAAGTTCTCCGGCACCAGCGGGATCCGCCGCCTGGGCCTGCGGGAAACACCGGTCACATCCGCACTGCCTCGCCCGACC